TTGCATAACTTTTACCAATCTTCCTCTTCTTGGAACCTACGCGTGAAACAATCACACGCTAAGTCGTTAACTTAGTGAGACATATAAAACATATAATATAACCATATAACATTTCATATAACAAAATATATACATGCACATATATCATCATTATCATGATCTCTATCCTAATCAATAACCCATTTATCATATGATCTTGTACTTATCATTTCTGTATGTCATGTATCCTTTCATATAATCAATTCACGCATATACATATATCATTAACATGTTTATCAGTACTTATATTACTATCACTAATTTCTTTTTATCATATAAGCATATACTGAACATCTCTATACATATCATGAAGTACATACATCATTTCACAACAGAGAACACATAGTATCACATCAATTGATTTATTTACTCTCTTAAATTCCCATGTATTAGCCCATGTATACTTTTGAGAACTTAAGGTATGTGAGCACATTGAGGTTGTGCACCACTATGCTGTCACCACAACTCATATAAATGTCCCGAATGACCTATCCAGAGGTCATAAAGAACCTCAACAACTGTCCATAGGTCTCGAAGAACCTAGGTAAATTGTCCATATGTTCCTTAGAACATAGGTATACTGTCCATATGTCTCGAAAGACATAGGTAATTCAGTCTATATGTTTCGTAGAACATAGGTAAACCCTCGACTCTTGGCATGCCAACTATACCCCTAGCTCTCATATCACATAACATGGGCGTTATCATTTATAACAGTTCACATATTCACATCACTTATTCATATTATTTCTCTTATAAACACATATCTCTTCTTTTCTGTCACGTATCGTATGTACGTGTAATCATTGATCTTATGTCATATGACTTTTCTCATATATGCTTATATCTCATTGCCACGTATTCATTTCATTCTCTATGTCCTTATCACATAGCTTATTTCATATTCATATGTCACATAATTGATCACACATACATGCATTCACATATATCACATAATATTTTAGTAGTTACTTCTTACCATAGTAACTCCGTCACTGGCTCATCGCAAGCCAATATTTGATCAATAACATAAGTACAAATTAAAATGCACTCACCTTAGCCTTGCTTTGATTCGATACTAATTCTTTGATTGTTCCGGAACTTGTTTAGGCTCAATATCTACATAAACATAAATTCCGATACGATTATCAAAAGCCTAAACCTTATAACTTGATGTTAATAACTCAAGCTTGTTTAATGAACCAAAATTTCATTTTTCCTTTAGAGGTGTATCGATGCACTATGGGTGCATCGGTACACAAAATAGCTTCAAAATTCACATGCATCGATGCACCCTTTAATTCATTAATGCACCTTCAAAAATTATCTTATTGCATCGGTACACACTCATAGTGCATCGATGCACCTTCCCATAATAGTCTATTTCATCCGAAAATCATCAACACTTCACCCAAATTTTCATGTATAAAATCCTTATTATGCTACTAAATTCATCTATAACAACTTTAACAAATTTCTATCTTTCTAACACCTTATAATCTTCCATATTTCATCTAAATTCTTAAGGCTAAGAATCATACCAAATTTTCCATGTTATCCAAACTTTGATTTAACACTTATAACTTCTTATTCACACCTATGACAAGTCAAATTTAGTTTTAAATTCAACTTATCAACTATTTTCCAAGAATTCACTTAAAACCCCATTTTCTTTAATCTTTCATAACTTCTTCATCTTTTGATTTTAAGATAACTTAAGCTTTCCTTAAGCTTAGTTATCATCTAATTATCAAAACCCACTCTTAAAATTAACAAATAATCAACAAAATAGAAAACTCACCTTTGCTCTAGCTTGGGCACGTTGGAGAAGAGAAGAAGATGAAGAATGAAGAGTGAAGAGATTTCTGGAGAAATCTCTCAACCTTATCCCCATATATATCATTATCTTATTCATTTCTAAGTCAAATGGCCATTTTCCCCTTTAATTCCTTTAATAATTACTAACAACTTTTAGGATATCTCTACATAAATCATTGAACTATTCAACTATTCTACTTTTATCACCAAATTATGAAATTTTACTATTTAGTCACTAACCCGGTATTGAGGATGTTACAAATCACATCATTTTTTTTGCTTCCAGTTTAACAAACCATACATAACTCCTAATCCTTACTAAAATTGGACACAATCCGTTTACTTCAAACATGATTGACTTGCACAACTTCATTTACATGTCAGCATGTATAAATACAGTAATACACAGACTCTTATAGTATTGTCATGTTAAGCAATTTAAACCTAAATTTAACATGAATAAGAATGCAACTTCGTGCAATGAGCATCACATCATCAACTACATTTGGATCTTTATCTATCCTTGTGTTACGAACTTGCCAAATTGTAAGATCCTGTGTTTAGAGATTGATAGTGAAACTCGTAGAAGTGAATTCTAGACCTTAGACTCGTTAGAGAGAATTCCACTCAGAGAGCTCAAGTAATCTATTGTGTCTTGATTTATATTAGGGGAGATGAACATTTTGACTTTTGTAGGTTAATCGAAAGACCTGAATCTTTGTTAAATATGTTTAGGCATTCCTTGGCTTTGCTAACGTGCATTAAATTAGCCTCCATGAATAAAAGAATGTTATCTCCAAAAAAATAGATGACTAACATTAGTGTTTCTTCTAGATAATTTTAAAACTTTTCAATCACCATTATCAACTACCTCAAGAATAATGCGAGATAGTCTTTCCATAACTGCCTCAAGTATTTATTTTACAGTTCAAGTATTCATAAATTATTACGATCATTTCTTTGTAGATGTAACATAATTCTATTCATAAAACAATAGTGGGAGTTGTTGCTAACATTAGTGTTTCTTCTAGATAATTTTAAAACTTTTCAATCACCATTATCAACTACCTCAAGAATAATGCGAGATAGTCTTTCCATAACTGCCTCAAGTATTTATTTTACAGTTCAAGTATTCATAAATTATTACGATCATTTCTTTGTAGATGTAACATAATTCTATTCATAAAACAATAGTGGGAGTTGTTGCTTCAGCATTGGCTTTTGGGGCTCTTTGGATTCACATAATAAAATCTAGAAAGCAAATAAGTCGTCAATGTCAGGTGAATCGAGATGATGAAAAAGAAAATTACATCAATAGTATTTTATATACATGTGATCAGAATTGTATAGACATAATACGAATGCGACCACTTGCGTTCTTTAATTTATGTGACATCCTTACTAGGTACAATTTTTTACAGTTGACAAGACCGGTGAATGTTAAGGAGCAAGTTATCATATTTTTACATATAATTGGTCATAATGTAAGATTTCGAGTGATTGGATCAAGATATTATAGATCAATTGAGACAATTCACCGTTACTTTAAGATTGTGCTGAAGGCTATTCTGAAGTTATATAAATTAGCTATTAGGTTACCCGATGAGTCAACTCCTCCTGAAATAATAAACAATTCAAGGTTTTACCCATATTTTAAAGATTGTGTGGGAGCATTAAATGAAACTCATATTCGTGCATCTGTTCCACCTAACATTCAAGGAAGGTTTCGTAGTCGTAAAGGGGGAACGACACAGAATGTATTAGCTGCCATTAAGTTTGACCTGAAATTTTCGTATGTTCTAGCTGGTTGGGAAGGCAGTGCACATGATTCTCGTATTTTAACTGATGCACTTACACGCCCAAGAGGATTTAGTATTCCAGAAGGTAATAATTAGCTTTAATAATATAAATTAATTAATTTCAATGCATAATATATTAAGTAATAATAAGATTTTTTAAATTGTAGGTAAATATTATCTTGTTGATGCTGGATATGACATTCAAACTGGAATTATCTCTCCATATCATGGTGTTCGATATCATTTAAAAGAGTTCAATAATCATCGTCCAGAAAATGCAAAGGAACTTTTTAATCTTCGTCATTCATCATTGCGAACAACTGTTGAGTGAGTGTTTGGAATTTTAAAGAAACGTTTTTGTGTGTTAGATGCTGAACCATTTTGGGATTTTCAAACACAGATAGACGTAGTCTTGGCTTGTACTATCATTCATAACCATATAATGGGAGTTGATCCTAATGATATAATTAATGAAGGAATGTATGAGGAACCTGAGCCTTATTCGATAACATCAATGCTTACACAACGAGAAGAGAGAGAAGAAGCTAGAGAATGGGCTAGTAAAAGAGATGAAATTGTAGAAGCTATGTGGATTGATTATATAAATAGAAATATGTAATTAGTTGATATTTATTCCAAGTATTTGTATGTTACGTATGATGGATATTATTGTTTTTAGTTTGTTGGAAATTGAACTTGCTACTATTTTAAGTTTGTATATCATTGAAGTTAAATTTTATGGACGTTGACAATTTTATTTTTAGGTTGTTGGTTTAAATTTGTTATACTATGAAATAGATAATGTTATGTTACCAATTTTGTTTGAAATTTAATCATTATTATTGTAAGTTTTAAAATTTTTCGTTCCATCGTCTAATTGCTTTATATTTATATGTTATTAGCAATGAGCACATCAAAAAATTTTAGGTGGACAAAACCAATGGAACGTCATTTCCTCAAAATACTTGCAGAATAAGCGCAAAAAGGTAATAAGCCATCTAATACCTTTAAATCAGTTTCTATAAAGCGAGTTGCAACAGCTATTTCCGAAAAATTTGGAGTCCAATGTGACGCTAAATACGTCAAAAATCATTTGAGGAATATCAAAAACACATGGAAAACTATATGTACAATTCGTGAAAACAATGGATTAGGATGGGACGACAATATGAAAATGATAACTTGTGACGGAGTTACATATGACGCTATAGTGACGGTAATTTCTATATACTATTTTTACTTGAAAGTTAAATTTTACTTGTTATTCTAATTGTGTATACTATTTAACACGCACACCCGAAATATGATCAAATTTTGAACAAAAAAATTGATTCTTATGATGAGATGGCTCTTGTTGTCGGTCAAGATATGGCAACAGAGAGTTTTGCTAGAACTTTTGTCGATATAGACTTGGATGATATTAATGAAGGATCAATGCCATTAAATTTCGACACTCAACATATCGATGAGGAAAGAACAAACGTATCTTTATCTGGTACATCAAAACGTAAAAGGAAAGAAAACGTCGAGGATGATCATATTCAATTTGTAGGTGAGAAACTTGGTGAGATTGCTAAAGTACTCAAAAAATTTACTGAGGATAGGACACCATATCTTTACAAAGAAGTTATACCAATGGAGAAAGAAAGATTTGGTGACGAATTTCTTTGTGAGATCTTTGATTTTCTAACCAAGAATGAGCTTGAGGCCAAAGTTTTCTTGGCTAAAAAATAAAGCATAGGAAAATTTGGCTTCAGAAGTTTACCCAAGGTTAAAATGTGAACTTTAAATGTGGTGTATAATTATTTATGACTTGGACAACATTTTAACTCTAATGTATTGTAGTATAGACTTCAGTATTTGTATTGTTGGATTTATGTGTTGTAGCACTAATTATGAATTAGACTATGTATTATTACGGTTGTATATTATTGTTGTTTTAATTTGACAATATTATTATTAGTACAATGTTATGTACTATTGTTGTTTTAATTTGGTGTACTATTAATTAAACATTCTTAGGATTTATAAACTTTATAGTATATTTTTAATCAATTATTAATATTATCTAAAATACATATTTTTATAAAATATAATTATATATAAAAAAGTAACCTTTAAAAATAAATAAATAATAAAACATATTCAATAGGTACAGTTTCTTCATTAAAAACAGATTCTGAAAACAGTTTTCAGAAAAATTACTCAAACAGTATAAAACATTTTACAATGAACCATTCAAACACTGGAAAATGTTTTCTGGAAAATGTTTTACATTTCTGTAAAACATTTTTCAGATTTTATTTTCCGTAAAATATTTTCAGTGAAACAAACAGAAATAATAAATTATTTGATTGACAATAATTAAGTAATATAATTAATAAAATAAAAAGATCAACCGTTAAAATGAAATGAGACAATAATTAAATGGTCATAAATATAGTTTATTCTAAAAATTAAATCAAATTAAGAAAAAATCGTGTATCGGGTGGAGTACCTGATCTGCAAAATTGTGTATCTTCATTATAAATACCCCAAATCTGATATTGGAACTAGAGAATCAAGGCAGATGGAAAGTATCTAAAGCCTCACGCAGAGGGCACAAGGCAAGTATCTTTTCTTTGCGGATGATCTTCTATTATTCGCAAGGGTGGATGTACAATTAATTAGCTTGACCCCACATTATTTTACTGAATTCGGCTTAGCACTGAACTTAGAGTTAAATTTGCAGAAATCGGAACTTTTTGTTTCACCTAATTTATCGTCTGAAAATGCAGTTTATATGAGTAGTTTGTGGGCTGATTTAGCCCAAAAAAAGATAATGGGTTTTTTTTTTATTTAAATCATTAGAGCAAGTTGAAATTTATTTTAGGATCTATAATATTTTTTACAGTGTTATTAGAACTCATCACGTCGAGATGACGAGTTCTAATAAAATATAATTTTTTTTATTAAAATTTATCACATCGAGGTAAAAAGTTAGAATAAAAATATATTTTTTATTAGAACTCATCACCTCGACGTGACGAGTTCTGTGTCACTGTAGAAAAGACAATAGATCCTAAAATAAATATTGACTTGTCCTAATAGACTAAATAAAAAACTCATATACCTTAGTAGGCCTATTTTGCTTAGTTTGTGTGGTATTTCACTTACAATAACTTAGTACCTACTTAGGAGTGTCGATCATTCATGAAAGGACAAAGGCCTAAATTTATGCTCCTCTAGTTGATAAAGTGTTTAAGAAGTTAAGTGGATAAAAGGGGAAGGTTTTGTAAACGAAAATGAATGAGTGAACATAAATGAACGAATTAAACGTCTATAAATATAAATGAATGAACGAGTCATTTGTTCGTATTTGTTTATATAATCAAACGAATGAAAAATCTTATTCATGTTCATTCGTTTAATAAATAAATGAACTTTACGTCGAACATTGTTTAATAAATAAATGAACTTTACGTCGAACATTTCATTGAACATTCGATTCGTTTACAGCCCTACAAACGCGAATAACACGACGGAGATGGTAACTCATTATATCTCGGAGAAGAAAACATAGAATTTACAGGAGGTTTGTGAGCTAATCCCGGACAAGATAAATAAACAAATAGTGGCTGTTCCTTCACCAATTTCAGGTTGAGGTGATAACCATGATATACACCGGCATGGGGGCTGAAAAAGAATGACAATTTTTCAGTCTCAGCAACTTACGCAATTACAAATCAACTGACAAATTGGGGATTATGGAGAAACACTAATGAATTAGTCTTCACTGAGACTAGCCAAAGACTGAGCCAGATACTCCATTATGCACATAAGCTAGCTTTGGAAATAGAGATGACTATGATCGTAGATTTAAATTACAGTTGTGATCGTATTTTTTTATTATATTGAGTTTATCATGATTATAAATATAACAAATATTATTACGATTATTGTGGGTATCACAATCATGAAGTAATAATTTTGAACAACACTGCTACCTCTATATAACAATCGTTATTCAAATCCCTAGTTAGAACTTCTTCGACCGCAACTTCATCAAGGAACCACAATGGGTTAAAATTGTAATATTAAATAATATATATATATATATATATATATATATAATATTGTAATATTAAATTATATATATATAATATTGTAATATTAAATTATATATATATATAATATTATAATATTAAATATAAATTTTAAAAGATTTATTTTTTATGATTAAATGTTTTTTTTGTTAGTTTGTGGTGAATATAAGATAATATTTGTTTGAAAGACTCAATTATATGATAATGAACACTGGTACACTTCTACCGACGTTGTACTCAAACTCAAGATCTTAATGTATAATAACAATCTCTTAACTACTAAGATGGTTTGGTTCATGTAATTTTCATTTAATGATAAATAAATATTAATAATAACTGATAAAAAAAATTGAATTTATATAGAAAAAAACGTCATTTATAACTACTGTTTTTAAAACTTGCATTTTAAATATAACCTGCTTCAAGCATTAATTGAAAAAAAAAACCCATAAGTTTACATTAATTAAAAAATCTATTACGTGCCATTAAAATCTATTAAAAACGTCAGTTAACTTTTTTTTTCTTTTTCTTTTTAGATTTGAAAGCTAATAAATTAGTGAAGCGTGGTATACTGAAAAAAATATCGTTTTAATTCTAATTATATAAAATTTCGAGTTTAATTTCTGGTAATTTCTTTCATCTCCATTTATCACAAAACAAGACTAGAATACACTCCTTGCTATAATACAGGGACCTATACGGTAAAAGTATGATATCAAAATGTTTATTTTGGCTCATATTCATTTTTTAAGAGTATTTTAGCTTCTAACGTTTCATTTTAAGGTAAAAACACCCATAAAATTTGACTAAATAGTCACTTTGACCCTTATTTTTTTCTTAAGCATTTTGCCCCCCTTCATTTTAGGATAAAAGACTCATATTTTGGAGTGTTAACCGTTTGTTAATTAACGATTTTCATGCACTGAGGGGGTTTCCCCCAAAAATAAAACGTTGAGAGCCAAAATATTCTAAAAAATAATAGGGACCAAAATGATAATTTTAATAAATAATGGGGACTAATTTTGATATTATACCTTCTTAAAAAGAGAGAGCCTTGATTTGAATCTATATGAAATAACATATTTTTACATGAAATCATTATCAAAGAATATTTAATTGATAATTTAAATAATTTTACATTAATTTTTATCAAATCTTTTATTTAATAAATCCATAGGAAAAAGAACGAAATTTCGATAAATTATAAAAACAATTATTTAAATAGTCAATCAAACATTATTTGATGATTTCATGTAAAGTTATATCCTGATAAAGTGTTAACTCAGTTTTCCTGCTAGAATTATTTAACGATGTTAGTCTAAATGATTTAATTGATTAATAATAAAAGTTAAATAATACTATAATTTAATGAAATAAAAGATTTGTGATGTGAATGGAAGTTAAAGTTAAGTATAGTGATGTGGAGTGTAAATAACCCAATTTGAAGCTAATGAAGTGGAACTCCAAACACGTTTTGAGGTGCATATATATGAGTATTGACCGAGGCGTTAATTTTGGTAAACAAGCACAAAGCAAAACTTCTAACTACAAACCTCCCACTTCATCTCTTAGTTGAGGAAATCAAGCACCCAAACTTCCTCTTTCGTCTCCATCTTCATCTCCCCATTCCCCATAATCCATATATATATAATTGTATACATACATTCACTTTCATGGCAGAACATGTTCGACTCAGAGCTCCTTTTATTGCATATGAATCCTAGGATGCTCTTTGTCTTCTGTCTCTGTTCTTGAAGTTTTAAGATGAGAATATTGTTGAAACCCCATTGTCTCCCACTTTTCATTGTTGCGTTGATCTCTTTGTCTAGACCCTGTTTTTACAGTTGCGGGGAGGACTCATTTCAGTTTGATTTTCACCGGGGAAGTGTTTATGGCCGTCTAATGACGACGACCTATCGTCGTCCTTATTTTGGGGTCTTGAACGAAAGGAACAAACTTATCCTGATGTCGGGAAGTCTGTCCGAGTACGAGTATGGTGACGGAAGTCAGTTGAGACTCGATGATGCGCCTGCGCCGGTCGGTCCGACTGTTGTCGATGTGGATGATTTCGGAGCTAAAGCTGATGGAAGTGATGATTCTAAGGTACCTTATTAAGGAATACTATCATTGTAAACTTGTTTAAATGTGTGTATGGATAAGATACAACACTGATAAGCTGAAATTATTTTTTTTTAAATTGAAGATATGAAGACATGAAATTTATATTTCCAATTCACATATTACCAAACAAATTCCTTTATAAAAATTTTAATTATCTTTAATTTTAAAAATTAAACCTTATAACTTGATGGTTGTTTGGTTTCATTTTTCGTGTCCGAATCATGACAGTATAATTTAGGAGGTTTAATATTTTTTTTTGAAAATTTAATCGAATTTTTTTAAAAATAATAAAACCTTTTTCAAAAACAGTTAGCCTTTAATTAAAATCTTTTAAAAAATTGAGAGGCTTAATTAAAAATATTTAAATTTTGTAAGACTTCATGAATTTTTTTAAAACTTTTAAAGAAACCCTAACTAAGTTTTTTTGTTTGGGCATTTATTGATTGAAGTTGTAACATTTTCATTTTGTTTAGGCGTTTAAGGAAGCTTGGGAAATTGCTTGTAAGTCGTATCAAGGAGCTATTATGTTGGTCCCTAAGAACAAGATTTATCATCTTAAGCCAGTTGATTTCTCTGGACCGTGCAATTCTCCTCTTATATTCAAGGTTTATTCTGGAAATGGCATGCATGGTCATCTATTCATCCATGCATGCATGCTTCCCTTAAATCTTCCATACATACATGCATGAATACATAATAAAATGAACTGATAGATCACATTCTAATTGAATGATAGATCTTCGGGACAATTAAAGCCACTGTCCATCACTCGGATTACACAAGCCGACGATGGCTTTACTTTGATAATGTTCAGAATTTAAGGGTAGAAGGTGGAGGCATCATCAATGGCAATGGCAGAACATGGTGGCTAAATTCCTGTAAAATTAACACCGCCCTCGTATGTCACGTGAATTTATATCGAAATTTCAACTTGTTATCATTCCTGTTATCGATAAAACAGCTTACATTGCTTCTTCCGTCGTTTTTCAGCCTTGCAGTGAAGCACCAACTGTAAGTTCACATCCTTTCTCCTTGATTTCGGTACGGTTAGTTATTTCGCAATCATCCCTTTTGTAATAACCAGGATTTGAACATCTCCCCTGTATCCTGCATCACTGGGCATAACAAGATTTGAACTTCGAGCTTCACCTGCATACGTTTGCATAAAAAATCGTATTATCTTTGAACACACACAAACCCTTCAAGGCGTTGCCATCTAAGGGTGAAAACATGCAATGATGCGGAAGAAGCACCCGAATCCCGATCATTACACCTTGTGCATATGAACTATATTAAACATAACTTTTATTTCACAGGCAGTAACCTTTAGCCAATGCAGCAATCTGAAATTGGCACGGCTGCGGATTGAAAATTCTCAACAAATGCATCTTTCATTTAGCAAATGTATCAATGTAAAAGTCTTCAACCTTTTCGTGATCGCTCCTGGAAACAGCCCCAACACTGATGGAATCCATGTGACTGAAACCCACAACATACACATTAAGAACTGTGTCATCAGAACTGGTAAAACAATAGTTAAATCAAGCATGCATTTAAATCTTCTAAATAATTTTGCAAACTTTATGCTGATCAATTCAACCGGTGCTATATTTGAAGGTGATGATTGTATATCCATAGTGAGCGGCTCGCAAAATGTTCGAGCCACAGGCATAACTTGTGGACCAGGACATGGAATCAGGTCTTCCAGCTAATTCAACACTACTCAACAAAAGCTTCTACCCAAGTGGTTTCTACTTGTTTATGGTACATTAATGGGATGCAATTTCTTTTGCAGCATTGGGAGCTTAGGAGCTGGAAATTCTTCGGGTTATGTGTCTAATGTAATAGTGAATAGAGCAACACTTTCGAGAACCACCAATGGAGTTAGAATAAAGACTTGGCAGGTAACATCCTAATAATCTTTTCAACATACATATAATGGGCATATCCCTCTATTCAACATTTACATCTAAATCCAAGTATCATAGTCTATAATTCTTTAATCGAAGTAGTATTGCAAGTAAAAATGGGTTCAGCTACGACTAACAAAGCAAACTTCGTAAGAAAAACAGCACTTGGGTTTTCATGATCCTGAATGGATAAAAAAAAGTTGGAAAACGTTGGCTTAACTCTGATATGCTTCTCTGAGTAGTATTATAAATTGTTGTTACTGTAGGGAGGATCCGGGTATGCCAAAAACATAAAATTCCAGAATATAATGATGCACAATGTGAGCAATCCTATAATTATAGATCAATACTACTGTGATCATCATCAATCGCCATGCCCCAAACAGGTAATTTTGAAACCCTTAAACCATGAACATCAGATTCAACAGAAAAGAGCAGGGCAGGTATTAATGGCAATATACTTGTATACATGAACGTATATGTTTCATTAAAGCAGGTGTCAGCAGTGCAAGTGAGTAATGTTGTTTATAAAAACATCAGAGGAACAAGTGCCTCCAATGTGGCCTTGAAATTCAATTGCAGCCAGACGCATCCTTGTCAAGAGATTTACTTGCAAAATGTAGCTATAAAATCATCACAAGAAGATAAAGAAGAACATATTGCAGAAGCATCATGCTCTAATATTAGATTGTCTTACCGAGGGGATGTCTCTCCACCTTGCTGATCATCTTCATCAATCTCTGCCTCAGGAGAAAAGCCAAACCAAATTCCATAAATTACTCTCAAATTAGACGTTTGCTTCTCACTTAATTCATACTCTATCATTTATATATATATGGATATTAATTTAGTATTATACATGCTTTATTTAATTAATATACATATATATACTCTTTTTTTCTGCCTTTGAAATGTCCTGCTCTGTGGACTGTGATCATCAGACAAAGTAACAAAAAGATTTTCTCCAAGATTATGAAATTACAAGCACTAATAAGTTGCATCGTTCTGCCATAACGCATAGGCCCCACCGAACTATCAGCAGTGCCTCATTTGCGACAGATTTTGGCAGTTGGCACGGTGACAAACAGAAGCATAATACTTATTGGCCTCTATGGTGCCATGTTCTGGCGCCTCCCTCCTGCTACAACTCCTGCAACCAAGCAAACTACAGCAGCTGCAAACATTAAATCCTCCTGCCATTGTTGCACCCTCTTCTGGTCTGTCCAGCTCCTTTAGCAGCATTGGCAACCACAAAGTCTCTGATGAGCAATTCGAGGAGACCCTTTAGTTTGTTTCTCAAATATTGCATTCAGAACTCAGATATGGGTATTTCTTCGTACTTTATTAAGACTCAATCAAATTACTTGCAGTTCTGATAAAATCTGTATCGGAAGTCTGTTCAGTTGAGGCCAACACTATGGGTGCTTGATTGGTCCTATCTTTTGGAAATTCTACCTGCTATGTTCATGCAACCTTCAAGAAATCTCCTATACAAGTGAAGCTGAAGCTCGGGAAGCTGAAATGAGGATATGCAGAGGCTTCCATTCTTTTTCATCCAAAATAGCTTAGATTCAGATGCTTGGGTTGGATTCTCGCTGCTATTGGACTTTTCACCTCCAACTGTGGTTGAATGGGTTCCTTCAAGTTGTTTGTTTTCATCTGCAACCACAAAGGCATGCATGCCTAAGATATAAAGTAGCATCAATGCAGAGCTGGGGAAGAAAACAAGCAACAGCAGCAGAACTCCAATAGTTGGGAGTTGGGACCTTGCGAGTTCACAGCCTGAGAACTGCCTCATCCAGAAAAAGAAAATTTAAAAACAAATCCACTCACAAAGAATTAAGCTAGCCTTTCACTTTCAATTGTTTTGTCTCCTTTTTTTTTTGAAGAACAAAACGAATGCCTTGCTTCCCAAGTTCTAAGCTTTTTACTCTACCATCATCTAGCATCACAGATACAATGGATGTGTCTTCAATGATGTCACTAACAGCTCCTTTATACCTGCTTGTTCAATTTCAAAAAATAAAGATAAATTTTAGGAAATGCACCTAAAGAATACACAAGACAGAATTATTAAAGCATTATAATTTGGGTGGAGCTCAAATGATCAAATTCATTGGAAACTTGACAAATTCTTTCTATTTTTGGAGCCAAATTGATGTGTACATGTTCTACAGTTGCGAATGGAAATAAACAAGGCGAGTGGGGTTAAGGGACTAAGATTAATTGGGAGCAAAAGACTATAAAACCATAACTTGCCTCACGATTTCTCAGTGGTAAAGATAAACCAAAATCTTACCATGATTTGTCAGATGCCTGATAAATTTCAAGTTTCTTTCCAATTGCATCTTTACCCAACTTTTTTAAAATCCAACTAGCATCCATCATGCCATCCATTAAGCTGTTTTGATGTGTTTGTGTGACATCGAGATCTTCATCAACATTAAAAAATGATTTTTCCATGAAGGAAGATGGTCTCTGTCTCTTTGACCTTTGGCCTTTTATAGAACCCTTGTCTTCCTCAGAATGAGCCTTAGAATTCTGATTAACAAGATTAGGTTTCTTCAATTTAAATTTGAGAGTTGGTTTGGGATCTTTTGGCAAAGAATTCAAGACAGGTGTGTGATGATAATCTTCATTACTTTCACCATATGTATCATCCCTTTCTTTCAACCGCTTTCCTGACTTCACATTTCCTCCTCCTAGAACGGGCACCACACCTGAAGGCACAGCATCAAACCTAATTACATCAATGCTTCCTTCTCCTGGTGTGACATGTGCTTGTTTTTGAGGAACGATTTCATATCCATCAGAACCTTTTGCAGCACTAACTTTGGATCCCAATTCAGGAAAAGCCGGCCTAATTTTTCCAAACTTTATCACATTCCCTTCTGTTCCTGCAATTTTCACCCCTCTTGACTTGGAGCGATAAACTTTGATTCCTGCAAACAGAAAAATTCCCAGTCTCACTTATTAGAACCTTAAAGAAAATATTCTCCAAATTTTCATCAGTGACAGCAGTGCACAAATGAACTTTTAAACACTACAGCAATAGATCATGACTGCTATATTACCATCACCAGATTTAGCAGTACTGTCACTCCTATCCGGCAAAAACTTGTAATCTACTCTCTTTTGATTTGCATCTTGAACACCTAATAATCAGTCAAACAAGAGAAGACATAATAGTCTTTAAATTACTCTCTCAAACCAGAAAGGACCAATAAATTGCACATCATTAATACTTGTTCATTTTACAAGAATGATCTTATAACAAACAAAAGGGGCTCGACGAAAACCTAAATGCAACTAAGATTAAAGTAAATGAGCAAAAAACAGTTTATCGCAGCAAATGCAGATCTACAGGTCAAACAAGAAATGATAGGTGCTTGATTGTAGGAAAAGAGGATACTCATGCAGTGCAAGTTAACTCATAGACAGAGAAAGTCAAAGCATACCATTGTGCAAAACCACATCTTGTTTTTTCTGAGAGCTTGAAGCATCAGAAATTGGGGAGTTGGTAACATTTATTTTTCCTGCACCTAGATTTATGACCAACTTCTTTGCTTTCACAGTATTTGACTTGTTATCATGTTTTCCATCATCACCTCCACGGTCTAAATCATGTGGTTTGCTACTTTTAATTTTAAGTACACAAGATTTTCTATCTTCATCACTAACCATCACCTCATCTGCCACCTTGTATTTCAAAATCCCTTGCTGACTGGTAGAACAAATTCCAGCAACAGGAGAAGAAATATCTTGTCCTTCATCTTTCTGAATCACAGCTTCAGGAATATCCTGATTCCTTTCAAAACTCAGTTGTGATTCTCCTTGGCTAATCAAAGATGTCTCATTTGTCTTTTTCTTAAGATATTTTTTGCTTGAAGATCTCTTTCCATATTCCTTGTTCTTCTTAGGAGACTTCTCAGCTATTCCTTTGAGAGAGACCTTCAGGGAACGTCCAAATTCATTTTTTAACATCACCGGACCATTTTCCTCATCATCTGAAAATGGGGAGATAGAAAATATTTCTTCTTGAGTTGGCAGCCCTGCAGCAGCCCTCAAACTATAAATAAGGTCTCGATCAGCTTTGTCTTTCCTCTTCCAAAGCTCTTGGACAGCATCCTCGAGATCTGTAACCTGTTTTCATGTTTATGACAGCAATTCAAAAGTTGAAAAGAATACTTTTCTCCCTCCTGAGGAAGATAGAGAAGGGGAAACGAAAACTGCAATACATAACCACCTGGTAACACTCTCCACGACATGCTGCACATTTATACTGGAGATTTCCATATACTTGAAACTGCAAATATCTTTCATCACTGCAAAACATTTACTGATTTATATATAATGATCCAAAACTTGTGTGGCTGCCGTAAAGCAGAAACCACAAAAGTCTTCCAGCACTTATTCAACATGCAGAAGGAGTGCTTTTGGTTTGTGAGGGGCATGTATGCACTAGAGTAGAAATTTCAAGACAAGCAGCACTTGCTTGTTTTACTAGATAGTAAGGAAACAGCTCATGCTGATTGCATTCAACAAAAAACTTGAGAAATTCAACCATCCATTTTGACATAACAGTAACAAGGATTAAACCTGCTGAACTTGATGCAAATTAAAATACAAAGCATCTACATTGACGATGTAAACTCTCTCCAAAAACATCTATTACTGTCAAACTCAGCACCATAATTTGACAGCAATTACCCCACACAAAATAATAAACAACCAAAAAATGCAATAAACAAGTTAACAGTGCAGAAGTTAGATTGGTGGCTCTTAAAGTACAAACTACAAGGATAGCAAGGAACCTGATGCCATCACACTCGCAGTGCACCCAGCGCTGGCAAATATCACAGCAGACCATGGGTGTGGATTCAGAGTCTCTGTAAACCTGTATAGTTGTTCCAAAATGTCTAGTAAATTCATTTTTAGAAAATTCATGATGCATATTTGCATTCACATGGATGCTAAATCAATCAAATAAAGTAGCTCAGAATTACCCATATTTCACCCATTTCTATCAAGAAACAACTCTTATGGGAAGTGGACTCTTTCCTTAAACCAGGGATATATGAATAAAGCAAACACCATAACATATCAGAAGTATGAAATTACCTTCAAACATACAGGGCAATAATTTCCCTTCACAAACAACCTTCCACAAGCATCACAACAAGTGTACCCCAAGAACCACCTGAAAATTTTATAAGAAAATGATAAAACCTAGATATTAATTATGCTTAAACAGGTGGTCAGGAAAACTCATACGCAACCAGTTGTCAAAAACTAAAAAACACAAGCAAGATATTAGAGTTTGAATAGTTGAAAAGAAAATGAAGCAACAATTTGCGCAGAAAGGATAAACTTTTAGGGGAAAAGCTTTTTGTCTGAGGGTTAACAGTTGTACCGCAAACTGGAACCATTTCCAGGGACATTGGATCCACAGCTGTGACACCTTGTATGTTTTGGGCACAAATATGGCCCAGAAGAAACATTCTGCATAGTCCAGGGATAATGTGAAGGGTTCTGTTTTAATCAAGATATAGAAAAATTCAGCATTAAGAAATGCAAACCAACCTTGTGCGGTGGATGTTGACAATAGCAATGGTATGCACCATCACACCTTTTGCATAACATGAGCCTAGTTGGATCTCCCGCACTTCGGCACACCTAAAAAAAAGAATTAGTACTAATGAGTGAAATCAAAAGATTTGAACATTATTGGGTGCAAATGGGTACTTTTGCACATAATAAATACCTCACAGGTTCGACAATAATGGCAAGTC